CAATGGGTTCAAATGTAACAATTGTGTTGACGGCACAGGACCAGACAGTGTTTGTGCATAAGGTCACTATATGTTGGAGCTGACTCGACAGTACTTAACAACAAGCACCGCCAGTAACCATGAAATTCTCCCTGTCCAGGAAAACAGCGCTAGGAATGGCAATGGTCTCCTGATGGCCTATGCCCTCACTGAAATGCAGACATTGACCTTCTACAGCCCTCCACTGAACAAGAAATTAACGATACAGTGAGACCAGCAACTGTCTTCTCAGATTAACACCCAAGTCAGAGAGCAGGATGAGTTATTCCTTCTCCTGAGTCCCGGCAACCTGCCCCATATTGAACACAGAGCAGGTGCTCTGCACAGTAAATGACTAAATGTATAAACGAAAGAGACAACATGAATGAGGGGGTGCCCCAACCCTAATTTTTCCTGTATGATGTGGATCACCGATTTAATTCCACCTAGATTAATCTGTGCTTTTATAAGAAATTCCTGGCCAAAGACAAGACATGGGCACCATCTTTATGGTTACATCTCCTGGTCACTAACGCAGATACATAACTTGCTACACCAACTTCCAAGTGGCAAGTGTATAGAGATTCTAAATCAACAGTCCCAATGTTACTCAAACAGGAAACAGCACCAACAGCTGGAAAATTTTGTCTCCAGTCATGTCTGGCTCTTCTGTCCCCAGGCAGGATGACCTAGGATGCAGAAAGTGACACAGAGAAGGACAACCAGCAGAGGGTACATACCAGAAAGTGCCAGTGGAGATCACATGAGACAGGGTCATGTGGTCTGTGAAAATGGAGGATTCATTCACACATCAGTGGCAGAGCGGCAGAGAATTGCACACTCGGTTTACAAAAGGGGAAGTTGACCCTAGAGGAGTTAAGTATCTTGAGGGAGGTCACACTCGTCCGTAGCAAGCTTAATCTCAAACCCAAGTGCTTTTTATTAAAGACACGAAGACTACTGGTTGAAACTCATAGCAAATTGTAAATACAAAGGGCAGTTTTTAACAAATTACAATGCTATTTCAGCTTCTTAACATAATTTGCCTCATTTCAGAAAAACAGAGTGGTATTGTTGTTATGTGTTGTCGAGTCAATTATGACTCAGTGACCCTGTATAGGATTTCCAAAGAGCAGTTGGTGAGTTTGAACTGCCGAACTTGTGTGCCAAAGACAGTGATTATACAAAGTGATTAGCAACTGTGTATGGCAACTGGCCCTTGCATATAATGTTGATGGGAATATACATAGCTAGAACCTTTTGGGATCAAAGTTTGGCAATACTTAAACAATTGTAAAACGTATATATGCATTGATATAGCAGTTCCCCTGAAATGGTTGTGTAAGTGCCAAATGTGCCAAAAGGCTGTTAATATCTTAGCACTACTCATATCGGGGTCCTGGTGTGATGCTGTAGGATAAGCACTAGACTGCTAACTGCAATGTCAGCAGTTCAAAACCACCAGCAGCTCCTCAGAAACGGTAACTGTGAATGAGAACCAACTCAAAGGCATTTAACAACTTATAATATCAAAAAATTATAAGAAATTTAAATGAAACTGATTAAGCAATTATTAAGAAGAAACAATGAAATAAATATAGACCAAAAAACGGTTTCTATGATTTATTGATTTTATTTAGAAGATTTTAAAAGTCATATATAAGGAGTGTAGTGGTTATGAATCCGGCTGCGGACCGCAAGGTCAGCAGTTCGAAACTACCAGCCACTCCGTGGGAGAAAGGTGAGGCTTTCTGTTCCCGTAAAGATTTACAGCCTCGGAAATCCAGTACAGGGTCGCTATGGGTCGGAACCGACTCGACGGCACTTAACAACAACAAAAGTTATATATATGTATGAGAAAAGATGAGTGTTTATATATATATGTGTGTGTGTGTGTGTGTGTTAACTGTCATTGAGTCGGTTCTAACTCATAGCGACCCAGTATAGGGTTTCCAAGGAGCAGCTGGTGGATTTGAACAGCCAACCCAATCTTGACCTTAGCATTCCAGTGCTTCTCCTGCACTGTCACACTATTATATATATGGAGTTCTAGTGTGGCGCTATAGGCGAAGAACTGGACCACTAACTGCAAGGTTGGCAGTTCAAACCCATCAGCTGCTCCTTGCAAACCTTATATAGGGTTGCTATGACTCAGAACTGAATCAATGGCACTTAACAACAATTGTCTATGTATGTTCCCAAATACATGTATTTTAAAAGAGAAGAGAAAAAGTGAAAATGTATATTCTGATTGCATCCCTTCCTACCTGCGTAACTCTAGGCAAGATATTTATGAATTCTGTGTTTCTGCCATTTTACTATAAAATGAGTAATAACAGAGCCCACCTTACAGAGCTCGTGTAAGAACTGAACAAGCCATTGATTGCACAGCTACAGGTTTTTATTATAAAGACCTAGAGTAGTACCTGGTATATGTAAAAAGTAAAGTGAAATTTATCTATTAACATGATAGTGCATATATGCATGAAAAATGTAGACTATAGACTAAGTGGTAAAATGTAGCTATTTCTAGGAGGTGGGATTATGTAGGATTCTTTTTCCTTGATGAATTTCTGTGTTGTTTGAATATTTTACATTGAATTCCGTACTGAAAATATAGCTTCCCTGTGCTCAGAATTCCATCTCGGAATACCAAATGTTTCAAATTAATACAGCAGAGAGAACACTTTAGAAAGGAACTGTATTTCTGGCAATGGTAACACATTCAGAGGATGTAAGTGAAGGGACCAGAGGAAGAGGAGACAGATAAAGTCACTCATATTTTACAAGACTATTTCATTTCCGCTCTCCTGAAAATCTGTGATTCTGGTCCAGTGCCCTAGTGTCAGTGAGAATCAACAGCCCTGCCAGCTGGAGTCCACAGTCCCTGTGTACACAGTCCCTGACTGGTACACCAAAGGCCATCCCTCCACACAGACGTGCCATAGCCCAACCCATTCATGCATACTGCATCCAGACGGTGCTGCGGCCCACAGTTGCTTAAGGGCGTGAGAGGATATGAGTCCAACAACGCTCTTGACCATGAGAGTGATAATAAATAAATAACGTCTGTGGTTCTGCTGACTACTCCCTCCAAGCTTCACAGACAAATCAGAGATGAAAGTCTAGAGAAATGAATACGCTATGTTGCTCTATAGCAGGGGTAAGGAACTTTATTCCTGCCCAAATTTATAGTATCATTTGCAGGCTATACAGAATCATCAACTTAAAATTGTTATATTTTGTCAAACATTTAATTAATTCACACCCAGTGTGATGGCTATGAGTCAGAACTGACTCGACAGCACGTAACAACAACGTTATGACTTAACCTGCGGTTGCCTTGACAAAGCCAGACCAAATGATTTTGAGGGCCTTATAAAGGCCCACAGGCCGGACATTCCTCACCCCTGCTGTGGAGGAATAGCTTTGGATCAATAGGAATCCCTGGGTGGGGCAAATGATGCATATGCTTGGCTGCAAACCAAAAGGCTGGAGGTCTGTGGTCACCTCGATATACCTCAGAGGAAAGGCCTGGTGATCTACTTCTGAAAAACTAGAAAAATCAACCATCGAAAACCCTATGGAAGGTAGTTTTACCTAGACACACACACAGAGGGTCAACTCCACGATAACTGGTCAACATTAGACTTGGCCACCTTATGGAGCCTTCTGGTGACTTTAGTGTGAATCCCTAGGTTTTTCTCTAGCTGTGAAATTTTAGCTATTACATTTGTTTCACATCTCACATGACTTTCTGTATAACAAGAAGGAAGTTCATGGACAATGGTAAGAGAGGACATGCTTATTTGACCCTGATTTTAAGAGGAATCTTTTAGTATTTCTTCCAGAAGTATAAACTATGTCCTAAATCTTTCCTGACTATTATTTCCTTTTATTTCTAGTAAGGCTTTTAAAAGACTAGCTCTAAGTGTTGAAATATTTTCACCATTTAGTGACAGAATCCTGAATTTCTTATTCACCCTACTGGGGCAGTTAGATCAGTTCCTAGGAGAATTCTTGGCCCAGTGGGTCACATAAAAAGTCACGGATTGACCCATGTGAAAGTGAAATGCCAGCACACAACTTCATCAGGGTCTGACTCACTCACCAGAAAGCTGAGATAAACAAGGACAGGTAATGGGATTATGTCATGGACTACCTCATCTGGAAAACTGTGCTCACTTTGTCTATAGCCCAAACCATGCTAGCCCGTAGGGCTCACAAGTGTCTCTCCCCAAGACAAAAGCCCAGGCTCTATCTTATGCATTCGAGTATCTAGTGTGTCTCACACGTTGCCTGGTACTTGGGCTATTTCCGTTCCTTTTTCCACATGTTATACTGTACAAGCACCTAGGGCACCTCAAGAGTTGGCTACGATAAGGAAATAATAATAATCTACTTACATAGATCTACATTTCATCAACCCTCATTTCTGACTGTCTCCCTTGTTCCTGAGTCCTCTCACATCCTGTCAACCCACAAAATGCATTTCCAAGAAGCTTATATTTCTGGAAGACTACCTCATGAGAAGAACATGATCTATAAAACTTTATTTTCAAATTGACAAAATTTTATTGTTTTTATCTGAAGCGCAGGTACCTTCTGGTCTCCACTGCTGTTGCGGTTATTGTTTTTTGTATGCCACTGAGTCAGTGACAACTCACAGAGATCCTTATAGAGTTTCCAAGGAAAAGCTGTTAGGTTTGAACTGCTGACCTTGTTGTTAGCGGTCCAGTGCTTATCCTACAGCACTACGCCGGGACTCTATACCTAATCAAATACAGCTATTTCTGCTGGCAAGTATGGCTATGACAATATTTCCCCTGCTTCCATTATGTCTCTGCTAATAAAGATCCCAGCAGCCAAGAATGTCTTTATGACCCATTTTCATTACACCTTGCTCCCAACACCGAGCTCACTTAGGAATAAGATCTGCTATAAAGGAAGACGTCCAAATGACCCTCAAGAAAGTCACTCACCTTTCTCATGGCTGCTTGGCGGTGGGGGTGGGGAGGTAACTGGTTTGGCCTTGTCATAGTTGTTAAAGCTCTGGCTGCGTCGGTTGTTAGCAGTGGCTGTTCCACAACGTGATTTGGCCTCGCTGCCTGCAGCGGATACTCTCACGGTAGGACCTGGAAGTCTAAAATGCAAAAGCAACAGGATAATGGATTCAGTCTTGGAAGAACAGCAGTGTCTCAGAGGAAGAAACCGCACCCATGTAGGAGGTCAAAGACAGCGTCTAAGACACTGGGTCTGAGAAGGTTTGCATCTAGGCAACTTATAATGCCAGTAGAGTCCAACAGCAAAATATCAACAACTTTCCTTTGAGCAAAGAGAGAAAATTTGAAGGGAAAATATCTGAATATGTTTACTGATTAGAAATATAAAGATCAACGTCTTTTTCCTCTGGGGAGGGTATTTTCCAATAGCAGGAGACCAGGCCATCTCTAAGTATAACAACCAAGGGACAGAAACGCCTGAAAAGATTCGGAACGGTGTGTACCTTTCTTCTGATAGGTGTGCTTGTTTGCTATAATCTAGGGATGTATGTATCGAGAAAGGACATAATTTATAATGGTCAAAAGGAAAGTGTTAGCACTCAAAACCCACACATTGAAATGAAGTGTATGTACGGCCTAGTTGGAAATACTTGTCCAGACAATATTCCTTCAATGCCTGACACCCTGTATTCACAGGCAGGGATCTGAGGCTGAAGCCCAGCTTCTCGCCACAGAAGATCATACACTCTTTCTCCCAAAACAACAGAAATCTGTTAACTTAACACAACATACACACTTTCCCTTTACATAAAAACACCTCATTTTGAGTGGCTTGGGAAATAAAGTTACCAGATTTCTCTTTATTTCTAAAGATATGGCCCATTACCCAGAGAGTTAAGAGTATGATTCCCTAAATTAGAAGTTTGGTCTAGGCTTTACTAAAGCAGGCTGCTCCCAATAATTAAGGTGGAAAGATGAATGATACATGATGAAATATTTAGCCATATCTTTCAGGTAAAAATTCACTTTGCTCTGTTTAAAAGCCAATGGAACCTCAGTAGACTACCACTAGATCTAGTGATAAGTCTGAATTTTCAACTCATAAAGCTTTCAACCTTCTCTTCTCATGCAAATCTATAAGCACCAAAGCAGTCTGAAGTCTGGGAGCGTTTTAGATATAAGCAGGCAATCGCTTTAAACTTTCTCTTGTTGGCTAAGCAAGAAAGATGGTTGTAGAATAAACAGAGAACCTGAGAGGGTGTGAAAGGACTGTAAAATTTATACAGTCAAGAAGCAGCTGGATCCATTCCCTGACTGGGAGCTAAGAGAAAGGAGAGAGGTTAGTTCTTGCCTCCAACATACGGCAGTGAGAATTACAAGGCATTGCTCCCAGCGTACTGGGAGAACATTCTCCTTTGTTAATTTACCACATCTTGATTGGAGAGGATATTCACCCATAATGACAGACACAGAATGGGGTTACAGAGCCAGTAGGGCCAGTATCTGTGTTTGGGGACCAGATTTTGCCTGCAGAACTGGTCAAGGAGATTTAGCAATGGAATCTTGGTACCTGTTTGTTCTGCTTCCAACATAAACAGGGCCGTGCGAGCTCTCCAAGTCAGTGTTATCTGAGTTCATACAGCCAACTGTGGAGCTTGTGCAGGTGCAGACTTGGGAATCCTTTGAGCAGGACTTATTTAACTCAGTCATAGCCTGCAGGAGTCTGTATGCCCTCAAAGGGGCTTGGAAAAAGATCATGGACTTGTTCTAAGACGATGTCACAACACAGGTATTAAGTGGTATGGAGTAGTACTGGTCTCAGGATTCTACCTTGGTAGAGGGATTTACAAAGAGCAGGGAAGCAAACAACCCAACAGAAAACACAACCCAGAGAAAAACTGCACTCCTTCTTGAGCTGCTAGAGAGTTCCTACTGCCCTGGCTCTGGGATGGACCACAGAAGATTTTCAGGACAGCACAAGTGCTTTTATCAAAGTATAGCACGGGCTGGACACAACAGGAAATCTGATCTTCTGTACAGCAATGTGGAATAATGAATAGAGCATGTGTTACATAAACTTTACCCATATGTGTAACATTGGACCAGGCTTGTAATCTCTAACATTCATGGTCCTGACTTGTACCTTTGGGGCACAAATAAAAATTCAAAGGGATAATTGCAATTTTGAAATGAATTAAGACATTGCCATAAATGAAGAAAAAAAAAAAAAAAAGAAGGAAACCATGAGAAATGAATCTAGATTGAGGTAACTGAAAACAGTTAAACACAAGAGTCTGAGATCACCAATTTTCAAAGAGCCAAGGCAGGTTTCAGCAGGTAGGAATGGTTGGTCACCTATCCAAAGAGCATCCCCAAAGACAAATTACTTCATCTGAGTACCTGTCACTGTCTAAGACCTTTTACTTATAGTCGCTGTGAGCCATCTCTAGGCCCCACTCCCTGGAGACAGACATTCTTAGTCATAAATTTACTAAGATAGTTATGCATTTCCCATGAGAGGGCAGTGCCACTTAAGGGGAGCAGAACATCCTTCAAAGGGCTGCAGTGCTGTGCTAAGTTCTCGGGGATCTAGGGGACGGAGTCCTTCAAGCCTTGAGGACAGGTGATGGTGGCTAGAAGATGAATGGCACATACTTAGCCATCAAAAGCCACCACAAAGCTGAAGCTAGCAATTACCAACTCCATTCCCACCACCAATACACCAGATTAGGACAGCTCCCTTTACATGACCAAATGGAAAAACGAGGTGGACACCAAGCAATTTTTTCTAAGTTTCAGAGAGAACCTATGTTGACTCTGATGCTTAAAATTTGGGTTCTGTTGTGAAGGTGAACTGCTCCAAAGTCACCCCCACCTCCCACCATCCCTCTCTCTCCGAAGTCTGAATGTGTCAATGGTTCCTTGAAACGGTGAATCAATCCACAAAGCTAATTAGTTCAGATGGAACGAATACAGGATTTCAAAGACAGTAGAAACCATGAGACCCAAAGACACCTGAGGCATGTTGGGGAGAGCATTGAACTTTCTACAAATTGAAGAAGGGGTCTAACTCAATCTTACCTAGATTTTAAAGGGTCCCCAATTGACATCTAGGTTACGTATGTACTGATAAAAGAAAATTTCTGAATTCTGGAATTCAGAAGAAATTCTGTGAAGGAAAATTCTCTCAAAGGCTTGTGGAAGTGTCAGGGAAGGTTCCAAATAAAAGGGACACCAGAGCAAGAGTTGGCATGATGAATGAGAACATGCATAGAGGACAAGCAGGAGGAGGCAGAGTATGTCCATGGAAGAAAACCCTGTTAAAAATATTGAGTGAGTGAGTGCACAGTGTGAGTTGGACTTGGGGGTGGCGAGAGCAGACAGAGTGGGATGAAATGAGGCAAGAGAAGCTAGCAGGACTGAATAGGGAAAATCTTGTATGTCATAGAATATTCTAGTCTAACAGTGACACAGACTGTAGGCCTCTGGCTACCATTTTGAAGTTCATTATTGGTAACATCCCTGAGTATCATGAAGTCCTATCAACTCCAGTGCAGAGGCATCTGCTGTCTTTGGCCTGAGGATCTGTCCGTATTTGCTAAAGAGCTGGGTCTTCATCCTGTGGAACAGCTGCAGGTACGACAGCAGATGCTGCCCGCTGAACCTACTTGACTCAAGGAAAACAGCAAGAGGGGAGCATGGAAAGTCAACTACACACCCATTCTGGGGCCAGATGGTTCCACACTCCTTTCCAAGAGGAACACTACTCCTCACGATCATTCTACATCCAAACACAAGGACAGAATGACAGAAGACACACATGGGTTCTTGGAAACATAAACATGTTGCTTTAAAAAAAAATTAAGCTTAAGGGAAGTGATATGGCAAAAAAGTGGAAGAAAATTCCTACTGGAATTCACGTCTTGATTGATTTCTGAAGCTTAGGCAGAGCTGATTGGACAGGGTGGCAAAAGTCTCACTCCTACCACATAACCTGAAACTGCTCACCGGCTCCTTTGTACCACGAGCTGTACGTGCTGGTGAGGAGAAAACAGTGCTTCCCCCCAAAGCCACTTCAAAGGTAGGGAGCAGGGGATGGCCCATCCCAGGAAGGAAGGCAGCTTGTGTGCACATGCTCAGGAACTAAGGGGGAGGGGAAGGGTCCTAATTGAAGATGCTTTAAGCCAGACAAGATGATGAAATACTAAATCTCTCATTTCAACATCATCTGCTTTTCAGCAGGCTGGGCAGAGACAACTGATCTACTAGCTCCATTGATTCTTTTTCCCAAGATGACCATGGAGAGATCAACCCTGTAGAACTTGCTGGAGGTGGTTTGATTGTCTTGTGATCAATAGGTCCATAGCTGCTATTAATGGTTCACCGATGACTGCTGGATTCTGTGCTAAAAGACCAGAAATGATCTGAATCCTTACAACACTGAGACCAAGAAAGTCCTTCATCGTACCAATCAGGAAGTTCAGGTTTGCAGAGATGAAACAATGTGCCTAAGATAGCAGTGAAGACAGGCTTCACTTAGGACTAACTGCAAAGCTGTTCTGTTAGCCACTGCGCTTCTGTCTCTCTCAGGTGGAATGAGCCTAAAAACCTGGGACTCCATCAAGGATGCAATCATAGTGATCAAAGGCAGAAATCTCTCATCTCTGTGCCATTTTCTTCCATAACAGCTCCCTCCACCCCCAGACAAATCCATCCAATCCAGATTCAAAGATGAGGATTTCCACTGTGCTCACCATCCTTGGTACGAATCATGGTGTGTGGCTCAGAGAGTTGTTCAATCAATGTTGGCTCTTGAACAAGTGATCAGTTTCCAGAGCTCTTTCTCCACCATGAAAGATAGGGCTGTTTGTTTTGGCATCCAGAGTCTACTGGGAACTTAGCGGTGCCTGATCAGCTAAAACTCTTACCAGGATTGTGCTTCTGGAGATGGGGAAGTGGGGGTTCAAGGAAGACCAGGAGAAGGATCAAGCAAATATGGAAACAAGAACATTCCTAAATTGGCCTCAGCAGAAACAAAATGCATCCAAAAAAACTCCGGTAAGGGGTATGATGCAGAAGTCAGACCAAACCTTGGCATGAGGTCAGCTTGGAAGCCTGTGCTCAGCACAGCCTCTGGGAG